CATACTCCCATATGGTAGCCATTAACCACATGTGGGTACTGAGTACTTGAAATGTGGCTAGTACGACTAAAGAACTGAGCTTTAAATTTAATTTAATCTAATTTTAATTAATTTAACTTTAAATAGGCACATGTGCCAGTGGTTAATGTATAGATAGCACAAGCTCTACTAATTTAGATTTCAGCCAGACATTTGGCAAGATCTTATGCTATCCTGTGGGACAGTGGAGAGAAATGTTAGCTGGCTGATACTATAGTTACATGTATTCAAAACTGGTTTGAATGGCCATTCTCAGAGTGGTGATTAACAAATTCATGAGAACGTGAAAGCGGTCTTGAATGAGGTGCTGAAGGATTCCACCTTATCTTGATCCCAATCAATATTTCCCCTGAAGATTTGAATAAGAGCTCTTGATGGCAGGCTAAGCAAATATGTAGATAAAAAGCTTCCAGAGAATGCCACCACACTGGAATAGAATTAAAATTCCCTAAATTCCAAGAGGCTGCAGTTATGGGCTGAAGACGTTAAGCTGAAACGCAGCATGTCCAAAATAATGTCCTACATATGCTTGTACAATTTTTTTTGTTTGTCTCTTTTTAGCTGAGCCATCCTGCCACCTGTTGGCAGCTCAGCGGCAGCTCAGCTCAGGCCGAGCATCGAACCGCTGTTGCTCTTAGCTCAAACTCTTGAGCGAGCTCTTAACCAACTGAGCCACTCGGCTGGCCCACGCTTGTACAATTTAACGGTGCTAGGACAGCATGCTGGAAGGTGTCTTAGCTGTGCACATTGGGGCTCTGGTAACTCACAATGTATCCATAGGGTGGTGTGCTTGACCAAAAAGCAAATGGGAACTTGGACTGGTTGATGAGAGGAGAGTAAGGGCTGTTTTACTCTACAGAGTGATGTCTAGAAGACCTTAAGTCTAGAAGACATATCCAGGTGAAGGGATCAATCCTAAATCCTTAGGGAGAGAACCAAAACTACTTGACCCAGAAAAAAAGGAAAGGATGAAACATGTATTTATGTTCAAACACCATCACATGGAAGAAGCCTTGCTTGGTTATTCACAGACCAATAGGTAGAAATTCGAGTGGAGATGGAAGGTGTAAGGGACATACTTTGGCTCAATATAGGTAGAAGAATATTTTAATGATCTGAAAGATTCTGGTGTGGGCGGGTGGTCTCTGAAGGAACAGTGTGCCTCTACTGGGGGTTGAAGGGCTGGACACTGTTTTGAGGGGTGGTAGGGGCATCAAGTAGCCACTAAGGCCCCCCCAACCCTAAAGTCTTGTGGCTCTGCACAGAGTGCCATCTTCGTATAGGTATCAAAAGTGGGGACCTCATGTACAGCGGCATCAGGCTCTAAAAGGAGGCCCCAGTCCTCATGTCTGGGCCCTTGAACTGTGTGCTTTTTGATCACCTTATTTAGACCAGAACTGGAAACTCCTTTCTTTAGATAGCAAATTTAAAGGGTACCTGTGTCTAAACTAGTTCAGATGATATTAGGGCCATTTTCCTTCTGTGTGACACTGCCACAGTAAACCTGTTAGGATGAGATTTGCTTTTTAAATTGAGGAGTCATACAAAATTTAACTCAAGAGAAATGGTCCTAGAATTTCTTGACTCTCCTGAGCCTGAGCTTCTCTGGTCTCTGTAACCAGAAATTGATGAAACTGAGACTGTAAAGTATGAAAGCCCCTGTCTCAGAAGTGCCTGAATGCCTATGGGCTCCTTCCTCAACTGACATAAGAAAAATTAAGAGTGCTGAACCCATAAAAATCCAAATAGATCATTCCAAACCCCTGCCTAAATTGCTTCTATATCCACTAAAACCACTAAAACCTGGGGCTCTCACCAACTGTAGAAGGCTTAATTAAGCAAGTACTTATAATTCCATGCACTAGTCCCTGTAATACTCTGATCTTACCCATTAAAAAACCAAATGGACAAAGTTGGAGATTTGTGCAGGATTTGCATGCAATTGATAAAACTGTGATACTAAAGTTCCCTATAGTTCCAAATCCCAATACCGTTTTACCTATTATACCTACAGACTTAAAATGGATCACAGTGGTGGAGACTCTGCTTTATTTAGTGTCACAGTTGACAAGGAGAATCAAGATTTATCTGCCTTCACTTGGAAAAATCAATAATATACCTGAACTGTAATGTCACAAGGCTTCACTGAAGCCCCATCCTCTTTTTCAGAGATTTTACATTAAGACTCGGCAACTTTACAGTTCCCTAAGAACTCTACATTCATTCAATATGTAGATGACTTACTGCTGATATTGCCCTACAAGCGAGGACTCAGAAATAGATGTATCTATTACAGTAATTAGCTTGTAAAGGCCACAACGCCTCCAAGGAAAAACTCTAATTCTCAAAAGAGGAGATCCATTATAGGATTTGACTGCAGAAGGCATTTCCATCTCACCTATAGAATAAAGACCATCCAAAACTTCCCCAGACCTACAACTAAACAATTAAGGACTTTCCTTGGATTTGCAGGATATTGTAAATCCTGGGCTCCAAATTTTCTCTGATTGCATCTTCCCTGTATGCATTTATAGGGAACTCAATTCCAGAGTCCTTACCCTGGGAAGATAATCATGAGCAAACCTTTAGCTAATTAAAATTAGCCCTGCTATAAATTCCGGCCCTAAGGCTCCAAAATTGTAAACCTTTCACCTTATTTGTCCACAAGCATCATAACCAGGCTCTAGGAGTTCTAACACAAGATCATGGAGGAAAACACAGATCTATTACTGTAGTTCACAATCAGACTTAGTAGCAGAGCATATCCAAACTGTTTGAAAGCAGTAGCCATTGTAGCTAAACTGGCTGAAGCCTCAGCTGAATTATTATTAGGATACGACTTGTACTTATAAGTACTTTATACTGTTTAGAGCCTATCAAACTCTGATCAGACTCAATATTTTTCAGCAAGTAGACTAACATCTTATGAGATCCTTCTCCTTTCACCTTTAACCTCTGTCTTAAGTGCTGCAACTTGCTTAACCCTGCTACCCTACTACCCTTACCTGACAATGGCACAAATCACCATAACTGTGTAGATGTGGTGTCAGTTATTGACCCCTCACATTGACTTACAGGACGCACCATAAGAAAACCCAGACTTGATATGCTTCGTTGCTGGGTCCTATGCTAAGAATGCAGAAGGGAAATATGAAGCAGGATATGTTGTAACAACTCAGCTATTGGAAAGGGAATCCCTTCTCCAATTTAAGTCTGCTTAACCAGCAGAGCTACACGCGCTCACTCAGGCTTGTCACATATCCAAAAGAAAATCAGTAAGCATTTATACAAATAGCAGATAAGCCTTAGGGGTGGTCCATGACTTTGGTATGTTATAGAAACAGAGAGTTCCTCACTTCTAGTGGAAACCCAATACAAAAAATGGACTCCAAGTAAATGAATTTCTCTCTGCCATTCTATTGCCTAACTGAATTGCAATTTTCAAAATCAAAGCTCGTACTAGAAAAACAGAACCTGAGTATCAAGGACATGTTCTAGCAGACTTCCATGCTAAATCAGCCAGCACTAAAATTGTCCCAATATGCAACTTGAATGAATTCCATAAGATTGATTCTAGCCAAATTATTTCTAATTTATATAAAAGATAAAACCAGGCACCTGAGCTGAAACAACAATGTTGGGAACAACAAGGGTACAAATTTAATATTAAATGAGGACTCACTGAAGGCCCAGATGGCCTCCTGGTTCTTCCTAAGTCCTTAAAAATGCCATTTTCAAAAGCGCTACATTCTGTAACTCATCATGGCACAGATAAAATGATCAAAATTATGAAAAAGTATTGGTGGGGTGACTACTCCAAGCTTAAAAAATTGGTTTATAACCAACATCTGATTTGTCAAACCTATAACCCTGGAAAGACCATTAAGGTATTAGATAGAGCATTTCCACCACCTACTAGGCCATTTGAACACTTACAAAAGGATTTCATTCAATTGCCTTTGTAATGGGTCATCAATATGTTCTTGTAATTGTTCTCAGGATGAATTGAAGCTTTCCCATGCAGAAAGGCTGACGCCACAATCATGGCTCAGAAACTTTCAGAAAATATATTTACTTTATGGGGTATCCCTGGAGAAGTCTCCAGTGAGAGGGGGAACTCATTTCCAGACAAATGATTAAATAATTAAATAAGGTGCTGCTGACACAATGGCATTACCATTTTTTCTTACTGTCCTCAGTCATCTGGTCAAGTCAAACAGACAAATGGTAACTTACAACTAAAGCTACCTAGATTAACTGAATCAACTGGATTGCCCTTGTCAAAAATTCTACCATTGGTTTTGATGGCAATTGGAGCAACACCCATGGGAAAGCATAAATTAACACCTTACGAAAGAGTAACAGGAAGACCTATGCCTTGATGATAGAATCATATGTGTCTCCTGTATTTATAAGTTCCAATGACTCAATATTGTAAAGCTTTAATGCATTATGCCAAAGAGTATTCAGGTAAAGGAAATGTTCCATGATCCTCCTACAGAAGGTTGAACCTTACACAACTTGGAAGCTGGAGTGCGGGTCTTCTAGAAACAACATCTAAGAAACACTGCCCTTGAATCTCACTGGAATGAACAATATCAGGTTCTCCTCACTATGGCAGCCAAACTTCAGAGACTTGAACCTTAGGTCCACAGCTCCCAATTGAAAAGGGCTCCTCCAGACTCTTGAACTGCAAACCAGCCAGAGATCTAAAGTTAAAATTGACCATGGAGGTTCCTCCCCAAAAGCAGAAGATATCTTGAAGTGGATAGCTCTTCCAAGATCACTGATGAAGATCTTCATTTCCAATATAAACTCTTTATCCCTTTTATCTACTTGCTATCTGTTTTTTCTCTCTATTAATGCATGGGAAGATGACACTATAATTAGGATTTCATAAACAATAGCTACTGCAGGAAACTTAACTGTTGAATTTGTCCCGCCAAACCAAAATCAGTATATGAAGGGAAAGACACTTTATTCACCCTATAAGTAATTTCACTGGAATCCCAAAAACTGTATGCCTAAATTGTTCCACAGGTCCCTTTTATAAAGTTACAATTCTAAATCCCAATACCCTCTGTTCCTTGTCTCAATTTAACACAACCCTGGGAAAATGAGATTTACTGAATATATATATAAAAGGCACTGCAGAGCCAGTGTAAATCAGACAGACCATCTGTAGGCTTGTTGTCAGGTCCATATATTTAGGTGGTCTTTCAACATGTGACAATACAATATTTGAGTCTTCGCCGAATGATGCTAAAACCTATGGGTCCATCAATGCTAATACTTACGAAGGAGCCATATATACATTCCCTGGCTACTCCTTTATATGTGGAGGTTTTGGCAATGATCTCTATGCTTCAGCAACTCATTGTCTTGAAAGCTGCAGGATAAAAGGACAATGCACTCTTGCTATATTTACTATTCCATTTGTTGTCTCTTCATAATGCCTCAGAAACTCAGCATGGGTCCACTCCTTTGAATTTATACTATCAACCAAAGAGAAGTTTACCAGCAGAATGCTAACCCCTCTGGATGGGCGCTGTCTGGAGGTTCTTCCTTGGCTTAGAGTTAGTACAAATGAATATGTTATTAGAATCTTATCCTTAACTCTCGCAACCATTGCTGGGTCTATTGCTAAGGCCACAGCTGTACAACAAAAGTCCCTAGGCTCTCTTGCTAAGGTGGTTTTATATCATAGAAATGCTTTAGATGACTTGTTGGCTGAACAAAGAGGAGTTTCCCTGGATCAGCTCTAGTACTGTAGAAACTCAAATATAAGAAATCAATGAACAAGCTACTTGGCTAAAACAGATTGATACCTCATCAGGTGCATTCTTTGATTTATTTGATACTAACTGGTTTGGTTGATGGGGGCCCTGGCTAAAGAAAATACTTCTGTCTCTAGGTATTATCCTCCTAATAGTCATCATTAGAGTCTTAAATGCATCTACAGCTGTGGATTTTGTGTGTTGTTTGGGGAAACAGGCGACACACTTATGGAGGGAAACAGATAAGCCAAGCACCATTATTTTGATTTATTACATTCTGAAGTACCATGGGGAAGGGCCTGAGAACAAGTCCGCTTTATCAGCAGTTCTAAAGCCTTATTACCTGAGATTCGCATTCTGGAAAAAAAATTGAGACTGAATTATCAATATGTATGTCGTAAGATTTGGGTTTTGGCTCTGATAGAAGAACCTGTGCTAAACTGGAAAAAGCTATGTGAGATTTAAGAGAGAAACCAACTAAACACCAAATCCCAGTGAAAGACGTGGATTTAACCAGGGAGCCACATACTTTAGCAGAACACCTCCCTTTGGGGCGGTTAGGAATGCAGGAGACACTTGACACAAGTGCAGGCTGCTCAAGGCAACTTCTTCCTCAGGGGATCAGCTGCCAGCTTCAGCATTCCAAGGAAGAACCAGTCCTTGGGTGGCATTTCTCTTTGTCCTCTGCTCCCTTTCACTTCTCATCATCCCGCCCATAGTTAATTGTTTGTAAGGCCTGAGCTATGAGTGTCGCCATTTCTCGGGTGCCTGCAGCAACCACTCTGCAAGACATGAGGTCGAGAGGTCCGCCTGAAGACAGAGAGGGAGGAGAAGGCGCCTGGGTTACTGGAAAGGGCAGAACAGTCCCAGATAACAATTCAGCATGCACACATTCCAAGGAAAACAAAGCTCTAGGGCCATGCTCGAGGCCGGACCGAACAGTGTGGTCTAGATGTAAGCCTGGTCAGGGAGTGGGGTGATACCTTTCAGCATCTGCTCTGCCCCAGTATGAGTGCAATGGAGGCATCACAGATCAATGCCATCCTGGAGGCTGTGCTGGGAGAATATAGTTTGAGGTCCAACATTCAGGACTGAGATTCAAATGACTGGTTAGACCAGGACAGAGGAGCGCAGTTCTCAACCTCTGCACTGCATGAGTGGCACCAGGGACCCCATGAGTTGGCCTGACTGGCAACCAGGAGCAGCTGCTGTGGGGATCAGGCAGCATGTGGTGGACGATGAAGCCCTGCATCTTCCTAGGGGCAAGAAACAGGACTAATGGCCTTGCTGGAGTCCTCCACTCACACGTGTGCTCATGTGGTTAAATCCAATGTCAGACTTGTTTTTAATCTGAAAGTAGCCTGCTTGGCCTTGCCAACTAAGGCTGATAACTCTTCAATTTTATATCTTTCTGGTAGCTCAATTAAGGCCTTTCTGAGGGGAAAGGAAAAAAGTAGAAATCAAATGACAAAAGGCCCTTTGCACATACCCAATGGTTAAAAGGGGGCCTCACTGTTTTTGCTAACAAGCTTGGGACTAAAATGCTAGGAGAGAATGGAGTCTAAGAGGACTTACCCAGCCTCTGACTGGTTATTCCTACACATTAGATGAGAGATCTGCCCAAAGCTAATGGACATAAATGGGGCAGAGGTGCTAAGGGATTCACCCCATGGGGTCAGTCACTGGGACTTCATGACCTTGAAGCAGAAGGAACAGGTCACCTTTTGGATCTATTCTAAAACTTCACAGGGCACCCACGCTGTACATGGTGCTGCCCCAACACCAACGGACAGGGCTGTGGGGGTTATTAGCCTCCTCTTCGTTGACTGGGGAGCGTGATGCTTGCTCTGCCAGTCTCATCGGATCTTGTGGGGCTGGAATGTATGTGCTTAGAAACTGTCAAATGTTATATAAATGTAAAGTGGTGGTGCTGTTCTGATCCAGCCATATATCCTGACCCTAGGGTATATTTTCATGCCTAGAGGCAAAAAGTAGGAAGGCAAGAAGGGTGGGAAGGCATTGGCCTACTGCTTTTCCAATGCCCTCTCCTGGACTCTCATCTGTAGAGACTCTGAGGAAGTGGGGGACATTCAGTTTGGAGGACTTACTCAGTCTAATCCCTGATGTTGTATCCCTGGGGACTGAGGGCAGGACAAGGGTCAGAGGGGCTTACCTGAGGTGTCCATCACGATGCCCCCTGCTTCTCTGATGATGACGGTGGCGGCGGCCAGGTCCCAGCAGTGCAGTCCAAATTGGTAATAGGCATCTGCGGCCCCCGAGGCCAGATGGCAGAGTGCCAAGGTGGAGCTCCCAATTACTCGGACCCTGAAGGAAAGGGAAGAGAGCAATGCACGTGTGAGTGGCACCATGTGCAAGTTGGATTGCTCTTAAATTTTGTGCATGCTTACTTCATCCAAAATCATCCCCTCTGCTGGGCATTCCCAGTCATTAAAAATGAGCAACAAGCTCTAGATTTAACATCTAGGGCCCAGCACAGTCCTGTCCAACAGAACTTTCTGTGATGATGGAAACATTCTGCATTGTGGTAGGCACTGTGGCTGCAGTAGCTACAGCATAGACTTAGGGGGAGGACAGGAGATGAAGAGGATTGACTTGGATTTATGTTCCTAAATGTTTACTGGAGGAAAGTCATTTAGGAGGGCTCTGAGAACACACAGGATTCGCTGGGTGGGTGACTTGAGATAAGTTCCTTGGCTTCTTGATGCTGCTCAGAAAGGAACAAAGGTCCCCTGTTTGTTTTCTAACAGCTGGCTGCCATGAACTCCCCTACTGGACAACGCAGAACCACGTGCCTCCCTGGGCCACAGCATGGGCTGCGTGTGCTCCTGCTCCTGTCACAGGGATCTTTTTCTCTTTTGGTCCCTAGGGAGTTTGTAGCAAGACTGTTTGTCACTTTCCCCCTTGGCCCCAAGGATGTTTCAGGAGCTGAAGAGTCATACCCATGAGCTTTGGCGTGGAGTAACCTCTCCATGTTGCTCAGGAACAGTTTCAGAGTAGCAGGGTCACGTTTGGGACCGATTTCTGTTAGAACCAAGGCCTTTGAAAGATCTGTAATAGAAAGAATGTCCCATAATCAGAAAAACTAAGTCTTGGTTCTAACTGAATAGTCCAGGTTTTCCCTGAAGCAAATTTCAAATATCAGCCTCTTATTCCTTCTAGAATCTTTTGAGTGGTTATGCTATAAAGTTTTTCTGATAGCTATGTTGAAAAATAAGGATGTATTAAGAGAAACAAAATTCACACACTGTTCCATCATCATTCCTTTAAAGCCACTTTCTGATTCAGATTTCAGAGGGAGCAGATTTTTCAGTACTCTCTCTTTTCAGGAATAGTTAGCATGAAGAACTTGGAAGAGTTTGGTGCCTTATGAAAATCACCACCATTCAATCACAAAAAAACCCAAAATGACTCCAAAATGGGACTGCCCACTGTCTGAAGAAAAAAAATGTATCATCAAATAAAAATGTCTTTAAAAAACTTTCTCTAACTTCTGTGACCACAGAGATGGATATCATCCCTGTGGAAAGAGCAACTTTTAAGTAATGTCTTTGGAAAGGGAGTCCTGAAGAGTAACCCCCTCAGCATAAAGGTCGACACTGTCGCTGTGTGGCCTCAGCACAGAGCAGTGAGATGCTTACACTAAGCCCACAGTTCCTGTAATGGGAGTGGCGGGCTGTCTGTGCCAGGAAGCCAGCCCATGGGCATGGGAGGATGTGACCGGGCTCCCTTCCTGTGCCTCACTCACTGGTGGGGGATCACAAGTGGCTTGTCCTTGCTTTGCCACACACCCAAACACAACCAGATGTAGTCTGTCATGTCTTGTCAGGCCTGTTGATCAGGCACAATTAGCCATACCAGGTGTGTTCAGATAAAAGCACACTCCATGAAGTAGAGGAAACACACACTCCACAAGTTATTTCCCTTAGTGGGCCCAATCCTATGTCGACATCTGCAAAGCCATCTCTCACTGATGGACCAGATTCTTAAATCAGAGGCTCTCATTTTATAAACACTTTCTGAAAACCACTTGACTCCACACCAAAGCTACTTGCCTTTGGGAGGTCTGAATCATTCCTCCAGGCACACCCAGCACCAATGCTGAGCTAATACGCCTCCCACGTGTCTGGAGTGGGTGTACCAGGCACTGCCCACAAGGGATAAGAGGGCTGGACAGCTCCAGGGTCTCCATGGACAGGATCCAGTTAACCCTGCCAAAGTTTACCACCCCATCCTCCCTGGGCTGCAAATTGAGATGGTATTTCCTCTAAGGAAAATGGACTTCTTTTTAAGAAAAAGATATCAACAGGGTCAGGCAAAGTAGGCACTCAAAACAGTTATTGAAGGAATGAACGCTTTCCCTCAAACACTGGCATTAGGGAAACATTGATAAAAGTCTTGTTATTTGGGTTTGTTTGTTAAATTGCTAGTGGTTTAAAATTTTGGGGAGGAGTTTTTGAGTTAAGTAGAATTTCGTTGGCTAGCCTAAGAATCTAATCACTATGTACAAAACTATTTTGGGGGGAATGAATTTTGAATTATGAATACTTATTTTAAAACACTCTTTTGAATAATAACATACTGTAATTTAGGGAATGTCCATTAAGTTAAAAAAGAAATTAGAGCATATGCATGTGATTTTAGCCAGGGAAAACAAGGAAGCAGGATGAGTTGTTTCAGAGGCGGCCATGGAGAAAAAGCGAGTGAAGCTGCAGTGGCATCTTGCCTAATCTTACTTCTAATTTCCTTACCTAACTTCAAATCTCATATGCATCCACAGGTGTACATGAAGATCATATTTTTAAAAACAGTTTTATAGGTTATTCTGTTTGTTTGCTCTTTTGATATAACAATATATCGAGTACACCTTTTCCCATGGTTCCATATTTGTAACAACCAAACACAATTCCACTCAATGGAAGGATTGGTTTAACCATCCTCCACACAGGCATATTTTCAATTCTTGTTATTATAAACAATGCTATCTCTTTCTATATATGTTTGTGCAGTCATGTTGATATACTTTCAGGTAAGATTAATAGAAGTGATATTTCTGAATGAAAGAGTATGCATATTTTAGAATTTGATCATTAAAGAAGACGTTGAAGATTTCCTCTCAGGAACTAGAAAGCTGGTTGTTCAATGTCTATAGGTAGATAAGCACCCACTTTTAATCAGGTTCATAAGATGTGACTACTCCTTCTGTTATTAGAGGGAGAGGCTGGCTGTAGGGCAACTAGAACGAAAAGTCTCAGGAGTGCCAGCCTAGACAAACAGATACCCCACATACAGGGCCGGTACAGAAAGAGCAGGAATTTTCAAACTAAGTGCCATTGGGCTATTTCACAAGAGAAATTAGCATAGTGTTGGAAACAGTAATTGCTCACATTTACCAAGCCCTTACTCTCTTCCAGAAACTTCCATGTATGCTTTCATTCCTCTACCAAATTCGCTATCTCACTGCCCTTATTTCACATCTGGGGAGACCAAGTTTAGAGGAGTGACCTGCATGAGGTCATGTAGCCCTTAAGTGGTGAGGCTCAGACTTAAACTCAAGCATGTGTGGTGATTATGTGAAGAAAGAGTATCTTCCCATAGTTCTAAATTTGTGAATGGATATCTCTGTACCCAGTTCCTTCCTCTTCTTCTAGCTGCAATGTATCTATTCTTTCTCATTCTTGCTAACATATTTTTTCCCAAATGAAATTTAGGAGTAAAAAGGAAGTCTGAGTGCTGCCATCTACAGGCAAAATGCTTTCTGTGTTATTTTGCCTCAGATAAGAAAAAAAGGTAAAAATTACAATCCCTTCTACTTAATATCTTCTTATATTATGATTATTTCTAGTTATCCACAATTACTATAATTTTTGCATTTTATTACCATTTATCCTGTATTTATAATATTTTAGTTCTTAATCAAATGCTAATTTTTTAAAATTTATAATATACTGTGTCTTCATGGGTATGTGTGTGGGGAATGGACAGTTATTGCTTAATGGGTACAGAGGTTAAAGTTTTGAAAATAGATAGTGGTAATGGTTGCACAACATTGGAAATCTAATTAGTGCCACTAAATTATACAGTTAAAATGGCTAAAATGGCAAATTTTGTTACATATATTCTCCCACAATAAAAAAAACCTAATAGATTTTGAAGTAGGGCATCTGTATCAATAAACAGATTTTAGGGTGAAAAAATAGCCTGTGACTTCCAACAGTTTGAAAACCCTTTTTGAGCAATGTTAAAATACTCAGAGTATCAAAGAACTATGTTGTCTTAAGAGAAATTTTACAACTTAATGGCAAGAGAAGCAAATCTCATGTATACATTGAAATATGTACTGATGGAAAAAAAGGTGACTGTGCTTTAAAGTCTGGAAAATATCCCTTGTGCATACCAGCTGGTTTTGCTAAATATAAAGCTCCTGTCACAATGCTTATGCCAGCATGTATTTTTAAACACATGTCCTAATCCTTTCAGACTTCTCATAGACCGTTAAGAGCTAGTCACAAGAAATAAAATTTAACTTTATTTAACTTAGAAATATAAGTACTAAGAAGAAGATTGGTGATTGGGGGTGGAGGTAGGAAGAGGAGTGGGGGAGAGAGCACCTCATGGCTACAGGGTTTTACCTTGGAGAGTGCAAAAATGCGCAGCATTGTGAATGTGTTGCCATTGAGTTGTTCATCCTAAAACAGTTAATTTCATGTTCTTTGACTTTCACCTCAATAAATTATTTTTAAAGAGCAAAACAAGTAATTTGGAAAAAAAGAGTATTGTTTAGATCCTATGAAAGACAGAATTGGAAACCTATGTAGCAACCAGGTAGATTTTAACCTCTCCCAAACCCCTCCGATAAAAAACACACAGAACTAGGAGAGCAACAAACAAAACTATAGATATCATCTACAAAAAAACTATATTGACAAGGTATATCCAAATCCCAAAACACAATGAGTGGAGCAAACCTCCAACAGCTACCAGACTGTGTGGCATTGTGGTATCAGGAAAAAGAAAGAAGCATCGAGCATCTATTGGACCTGAGAACAGGAGAACCTCACAATCACCAACAGCCACTCGCTGGAAACCGGTTTGGGCCAATGTGAGAGGAGTTGTGCACACATCAATTCATGGGTCCTTAGTATGGGGTGCGAGGTAAGGTCTGAAGGTAGGGAGCTGACCAAACCTATGACCTCTTATAAGTGACATACCAGGGCCTCTTAGAGCAAGTCCCAGTATTGACTAGAAATGTATGGGAGTGAATTCCCAGTTCAGTAGATGGAATAACAGGGGCAAAGGAAAGAGAATTGATCAAGATTACAGTGAAAGAGGGGAACAGGGCCAAAAAAATAAAAAAATCTAAGGACAAGGCCAATTTTTTGGCCTTCAGAAAATCAGAAGAGGGAGCTCTAGAGCTGTGAAACTACAAAAACTGTCTTGACTAACCCAGCCCTCAGGAATATATATTTCTAGTAGAAATAAGTAAAAAAAAAAAAAAAAGAAAAAAAAGAATCATGGTTCAATCGCACACACCATTATCATAAAAAGAACCAGGAGCAGAATAACATCTGTCTAATCAAAGACTGTCAGAAGGATTTGTCCACAAAACAGAAGTAGCTTTATGTAAAAGAAATAAAAAATATATGAAAGAACAGTGTAACTCAAAAGTAGAGGGTGAGGATGAAAAAGGGGCCAAATACTAAACCTGACAAGCTCAGCGGGGAGGCCTCCTTGGCAGGCCCTACAAACTTAGGGACCAAAAGTAACCACATAGGATGGTCTGAACATAAAAATTCCTAACTAAAAGTGGGTCATGGCAGGTAGTCACATCCTTGGCCTATAGCTTTCTTGACAAAGGTCAGTCTTTACCTTACGTGAGCCTGTTTATTGTCTTTTTGCATCTAAGATAACATAACCTTGGAATGTCAGAGTAATCCCTTTTACCAGACCCCTCAAGGCACAGACCACTGTACCAAAGCATGAGACCATAGAACCTCTCATTGTTATCTTGTTCCCCGAATACCATCTCTATGAGTTGTAAATGTTAATTA